CTCCTTCGCAGGCGCAACTGTTGGGGATGAGAGACTGGGCCCTCTCAGTGGTGGCCCCTTGTCTATGGAATGCCCTCCCCAACGAAATTAACTCAACGCCCTCCCTCTTGACCTTCAGAAAAAAAGCAAAAACATAGCTGTGGAACCAAGCACTTGGGCAGTAAGCAGATCAAAAAATGAATGCGGATTATGTGCAATTATTATTTTATACTGGAACGGCATGGACCATGCTTTTGGATCATGTGATTTTAATGTTTATATTAATATGTTTTTAATCCCATGTTTTGATGTTTTAATGTAGTTACATTTTATGATTTAATTGATAGCTTTATGTTACTGTTGCTTTATGTTAGGTTTTCATGTTTTGTAAGGCATTGATTCTCTCTCCTGAGGAATCTGTACAAGGACCAAGTCGCAACAGTAAGAACTGACCACGGAACAACAGACTGGTTCAAGATTGGGAAAGGCGTACGGCAAGGCTGCATCCTCTCACCCAACCTTTTTAACTTGTATGCAGAACACATCATGCGATGTGCGGGGCTGGATGAATGCAAAGCTGGGGTGAAAATTGCTGGAAGAAACATTAACAACCTCAGATATGCAGATGACACCACTCCGATGGCCGAAAGCGAGGAGGAGCTGAGGAGCCTTCTAATCAAGGTGAAAGAAGAAAGCGCAAAAGCCGGGTTGCAGCTAAACATCAAAAAAACCAAGATTATGGCAACAAGAATGATTGACAACTGGGAAATAGAGGGAGAAAACTGGGAGGCCGTGACAGACTTTGTATTTCTAGGTGCAAAGATTACTGCAGATGCAGACTGTGGCCAGGAAATCAGAAGACGCTTACTTCTTGGGAGGAGAGCAATGTCCAATCTCGATAAAATAGTAAAGAGTAGAGACATCAGACTGGCAACAAAGATCCATTGCCTAGTCAAAGCCATGGTATTCCCTGTGCTTACCTACGGATGTGAGAGCTGGACCTTAGGGAAGGCTGAGCGAAGGAAGATCGATGCTTTTGAGCTGTGGTGCTGGAGGAAAGTTCTGAGAGTGCCTTGGACTGCGAGAAGATCCACCCAGTCCATCCTCCAGGAAATAAAGCCGACTGCTCATTGGAGGGAAGGATACTAGAGACAAAGTTGAAGTACTTTGGCCACATTGAGGAGACAGCAAAGCCTAGAGAAGACAATTATGCTGGGGAAAGTGGAAGGTAAAAGGAAGAGGGGCCGACCAAGGGCAAGATGGATGGATGGCATCCTTGAAGTGACTGGACTGACCTTGAAGGAGCTGGGGGTGGTGACGGCCGACAGGGAGCTCTGGTGTGGGCTGGTCCATGAGGTCACGAAGAGTCGGAGACGAATGAACGAATGAACAACAACAAGGCATTGAATTTTGCCGTTAATATGTTGGAAACCGCTTTGAGTCCCCCCCAGGGGTGAGAAAAATGGTATATAAATGAAGTCAATAAATAAATACCACACAATTAAGCAGGAAATAACAGTTTCAGGAATGGATTCTTTTTCTAATTTTGTTACCTATTGTAATTCAAGACATATTTTGCACAATGTTCACATGTGGTTGTTTTGCACAGAAAACACAATTTTCTGTACAGAAGCTATTATTTCAAAGCAGAAATATTAATTTTTGCATAGAGAATGCTGTTACAGCAAGAGAATGCTGTTCACTATGCACGTTGAGTTGTAAGGAAAGTTGGTAACACACTATTATTATTGTTGTTGTTGTTGTCAACTATGTACAAATGTTACACAAAATAAATCCCCATTACTGTACTTTCTGCTCCCAAAGTACTATTTTTATTTTTACATTAAAATATTACTTTTCATTCAGAAAATGCTGTTTTATATGCGGATTTTGCAAGTCTGAATATTTTCAAATATTCTTTCCATCCGTATTGTGGAAGCCATCAGCCTGCACTACTACTCCAGGAACATTTGTTTCAGTCTGGTTGCACATGCCTTTACTTCTATCTCCTCTGCTCAATGATGCATGCATCCTCCTTGTAAGTCTTGGGACGCTTCTACGTTGCCATATCCACTTTATATGCTTTGAACTGGATTATATGAGTTTTAACTGCCATATAATCCAGTTCAAAGCTGATAATCTATATTTTATATGGCAGTGTGGAAGGGGCCTAAGTTGGGATGCATGTAAATACAGCTGAAACTAGAACTGACAATCAAAATGATATTAACAGTCTAGAAAACTAGTCTCCAAACCAACAAGATTAAACTCAGTGGAAATAAAGTGACTTCCCAAAATGTTTTTATAATCTGGAATATATGGCCGCGTAGACTCGTGTAATCCAGCTCAAAGCAGATAATATGGACTATGCAATTTGATAATCTGGATTATATGGCAGTGTAGACTCATATAATAGATAATGACCACCAGACTGGTAATAGTTCAGTAGACTGTAAGTATATTGTTTTAATGTTTTAATGTTTTTAACTATTATAATTATTGGTGTGTTGGATTTTATTATGTGGCATCAAATTGTTGCCAATTGGAAGCGGCCCTGAGTCCCGTCCCGTCCCCCCCCCCCCCCCGGGGTTGAAAGGGGCGGGGTAAATGTGTTTGAGATAATCAATCAATTAATTAATTAAAATAATCCATGTTACAGCAGATAATATAGAACATTTGATATGATCATCTGGATTATATGGCAGTGTAGATGTATATAATCCAGGTCAAAGCAGATAAAGTGGACTATGCAATTTAATAATCTGGGTTGAATGGCAGCGTAGACTCATTATCCAGGTCAAAGCAGATAATATGGACTATGCAATTTGATAATTTGGATTATATGGCAGTGTAGATGCATATAATCAATCTGGAAGGAAATAATGTGGATTATTTGATTTGATAATCTGGATTATATGGCAGCATAGACTCATAAAATCCATTTTAAGGCAGATAATATGAACTATGCAATTTGATAATCTGGATTAGATGGAACCATAGACTCGTAAAATCCATTTTAAAGCAGATAATATGGACCATGCGATTTGATAATCTGGATTATATGGCAATGTAGACTCATATAATCCACTTGAAAGAAGATACGATTTGATAATCTGGATTATATGGCGGTGTAGACTCATATAATCCAACTCAAAGCAGATAATATGGACTGATTCAATAATCTGGGTTCTATGGCAGTATGGTCCATTTTAAAGCAGATAATATGGACTATCTGATTTGATAATCTGGGTTCTATGACAGTGTATACACATATAATCCAGCTCGAAGAAAATAATGAGGAAGTCATAGGGAGGAGGGAGCAAGCTTGTTTTCTGCTGCCCTGGAGACTAGGACACAATTTATTTAATTAATTAATTTACATTGTATCCGCAGGGATGGATTACAATGCACATATACAGGCAAACATTCAATGCCTTAGACCAGGGGACCTCAAACTTTTTAAACAGAGGGCCAGGTCACAGCTCCTCAAACTGTTGCAGGGCCGGATTATAATTTGAAAAAAAAAAAAACATGAATGAATTCCTATGTATACTGCACATATCTTATTTGTAGTGCAAAAAAAAAAAACCCCACTTAAAACAAAAAAAATTAAAATGAAGAACAAGTTTAACAAATATAAACTTATTCGTATTTCAATGGGAAGTCTGGGCCTGCTTTTGGCTAATGAGATAGGATTGTTAGTGTTATTGTGTGCTTTCAAGCCATTTCAGACTTAGGTTGACCCTGAAAGAGGGCCGGGTAAATGACATTGGAGGGCCGTATTCAGCCCTTGGGCCTTATTATTCAGGGCGGATTACAGTGTACACATATATGGCAAACATTCAATGCCAATTTTAACATACAACATATACAGACATACACAGAGGCTATTTAACTTTTTCTGGCCGCCAGGGGAGCTGTCGCTTTAATCGTCCATCTGCGACGCTGATGAAGCACTTCCGCATTCCCCACATGATTCCCCGCTGGAATGCTTTGCTGGAGTCTTCTTCATGGCCTCATAAATCAGTTAATTTAGCCTCCCCACACTTTAAGGTGGTACCTTATTTTCCTGCTTGACAGATGCAACTGTCTTTCGTGTTGCAAAGGTCGACAACAGGCTACACACAATTGGTTGGAAACCCTCTCCAACCCGGGCTGGCTTCGAACTCATGACCTTTTGGTCAGAGTGATCTTAATGCAGCTGACACTCAGCCAGCTGCGCCTTAGTTTGAGGACCCTGCCTTAGACACACTACACATACAGACAGACAGTCAGAGGCTATTTAACATTCCAACTTTTTTTGGCCACCAAGGGAACTGGTGGAACAATGGCTTCAAACTACAAGAGAGGAGATCCCACCTGAATATGAGGAAGAACTTCCTGACTGTGAAAGCTGTTTAGCAGTGGAGCTCTCTGCCCTGGAGTGTGGTGGAAGCTCCTTCTATGGAGGCTTTTAAACAGAGGCTGGATGGCCATCTGTCCGGGGTGCTTTGAATGCAATTCTCCTACTTCTTGGCAGAGGGTTGGACTGGATGGCCCATGAGGACTCTTCCAACTCTAGGATTCTATAATGTGGATTGTCTGATTTGACCGTCTGGATCACTAGGTTCTTGTGGGTTTTTTCGGGCTATATGGCCATGTTCTAGAGGCATTTTCTCCTGATGTTTCGCCTGCATCTATGGCAAGCATCCTCAGAGGTAGTGAGGTCTGTTGGAGTTAGGAAAATGGGTTTATATATCTGTGGAATGACTGGAATCTGGATTACACTGCAGTGTAGATATGATAGGGACCGCATGGTCTCCTCCTTCACTCTGCCTTCATCTTTGTCCCTCCTGTCACATTTTCACCGCTTTGGCCTTCTGGCGCGCATCTACACTGTGCAGAATTAACGGTTTGGCAGCGCTCTAGCTGCTGAGGGAGTCTCTACACCCCTCCCGCGCGCCTTCTGGGCCCAGGAGCAGAGACTCCGCCTCTTCCAGGGCCAAGCCCCGCCCTGCCGGACCAAGCCCCGCCCCCGGGGGCGTTCCAGGACGGCCATTGGGCCCCGCCGTCGCGAGCCAAGGCGGCTGAGACGCCACTTGTTGGCCCAGGAGCTTCGCGTGCCAGTCTGCGCAGTTGCCCCAGCCGCAGCAGTGAAATCTCTCTCTCTCTCTCTCTCTCTCTCGCCTGCTTTGGCCATGGCCGAGGCCCCCTCCCCGCCGCTGCTCTCTGTGGAGACGGACCCGGACTTCCAGCCGCTGCCCCGCGCGCGCTCCTGCACTTGGCCGCTGCCCCGCCCGGAGCTCGCGCCCTCCAGCCCCGCGCAGACCCCGGCCAGGGCCGCCTCGCCTTCGCGCTGCTGCGGGGGAGGAGGGGGAGGAGGGGGCGACCTGCTGAGCCTCCTGGAAGGCGCCAGCAGCAGCACCAGCGGCGAGGGCGGCTGCCTCTGCGGGGACTTCCCTTGCCTCCTGCACCAGTCCCAGCCCCAGGCGGCGCCCTCCCTGGCGGGGCCGCCCTTAGCCTCCTCGTCGTCGGGGCCGCGCAAGAGCAGCTCCTCTCGGCGCAACGCCTGGGGGAACCTCTCCTACGCGGACCTCATCACCCGCGCCATCGAGAGCGCGCCCGAGAAGCGCCTCACCCTCGCCCAGATCTACGAGTGGATGGTCAAGAACGTGCCCTACTTCAAGGACAAGGGCGACAGCAACAGCTCCGCCGGATGGAAGGTGAAGCCCAGTAGCGGGAATTAGGACCACCAGCCCTCTCAGAGCAGTGCCCAGGGCCAAGGCTGGCTCAGACCAAGCAGGGCAAACTTTATTGTTACTGTTGTCATTCATCATCATCATCATGGTTTTATTTCTTACCCGCCTCTCTTCCAGGAAGGCCCTATACAATAATAATAATAATAATAATAATAATAATAATAATTTGCATGCTAAATATTGAATCAGTTTATTAATGCAAAATAATATGGCAAGCAAAATAATTATTAGTGTATTATTATATTTATTTATACCCAGCTTTATCTCTCCCTTCCAGACAGGCCCTGTATAATAATAATAATAATAATAATGTTTTTGCATGCAAAGTATTGAATCCGTTTATTAATGCAAACTAATGTTGCATGCAAAATAATTATTAATGTATTATTATATTTATTTAGACCCAGCTTTATCTCTCCTGTAGGAGACTTAGGGCACTTCCAGACAGGCCCTATATTATTATTATTATTATTATTATTATTATGCAAACTAATTATTAATGTATTATTATATTTATTTATACTCAGCTTTATCTCTCCTGCAGGAGACTTAGGCCTCTTCCAGACTGCCCTATATTATTATTATTATTATTATTACTATTTTGCATGCAAAATATTGAATCCGTTTATTAATGCAAACTAATGTTGCATGCAAAATCATTATTAATGTATTATTATATTTCTTTATACCCAGCTTTATCTCTTCTGCAGGAGACTTAGGGCTCTTCCAGATATGCCCCATATAATAATAATAATAATAATAATAATAATATTTTTTGCGTGCTAAATATTGAATCAGTTTATTAATGCAAAATAATGTTGCATGCAAAATAATTATTTATGTACTATTATTGTATTGTTCTATTTATTTATACCCAGCTTTATCTCTCTGGCTCTTCCAGACAGGCCCTATCTAATAATAATAATAATAATAATAATAATAATAATAATAATAATAATAATAATTTGTAAACTGCCTTGAGTTGCTAGTAGGCAGTATACAAGTATAGTAAATAATAAATAAATAAAAATATTGAATCAGTTTATTAATGCAAATAATTATATTGAAATATAATGTATTATATTTCTTTATGCCCAGCTTCCAGACAGGCCCTATATAATAATAATAATAATAATAATAATAATAATATGTTTGCATGCTAAATATTGAATCAGTTTACTAATGCAAAATGTTGCATGCAAAATCATTATTAATGTATTATTAATGTATTATTATATTTATTTATATCCAGCTTTACTTCTCCTGCAGGAGACTTAGGCCTCTTCCAGACGGGCCCTATATTATTATTATTATTATTATTATTATTATTATTATTATTATTACTACTACTACTATTTTGCATGCAAAATATTGAATCAGTTTATTAATGTTCCAGATCAGATCCCAGGTATTTTGTTTATCCCAGATTATCTGGCAGTGAGGACTCATATAATCCAGTTCAAAGGACATAGGACCTGCCTGGAAGGTCCCTCAGATAACCCACTTCAAAGCAGATATTGTTGGTTATTCTGCCTTGATATTCTGGGTTATATAGCTGTGTGGAAGGGCTCTAATTCAGCGGGGAATATGGCAGACACTTTTAAATTATGGGATCCTCAACCTGTAACTATAAAGAATCATGATTTTCATCTCAGGCCTATCTTCTCATATATGAGAAGACAGGATGAGGGCCATATATAAATATGCGAGGGGAAGTCAGAGGGAGGAGGAAGCAAGCTTGTTTTCTGCTGCCCTGGAGACTAGGACACGGAACAATGGCTTCAAACTATATACAGGAAAGGAGATCCCACCTGAATATGAGGAAGAACTTCCTGACTGTGAGTGCTGTTCAGCAGTGGAACTCTCTGCACCAGAGTGTGGTGGCGGCTCCTTCTTTTGAGGTTTTTAAACAGAGACTAGGTGGCTAAAAGCATCTCCCAAGATCTGATCCCAGGTTTTCTGCTTTGAACTGGATTAAATGAGTCTGCATTGCCGGATAATCTGGGATAAACAAAAAAACCTGAAATTAGATCCTGGGATATAGGGCTTGTCTGGAAGGGTCCTCAAAGTGGCTTTAAGCATCAGCATACAATTTAAAATAGACAAATATGCAAACATTAAAACAGGACTAAATATAAACAGTGTTTTAAAATTCCCAGTTAAAAACCACCACAACATATTCAAAGTTAAAAACCACAGCACCTCCTGACTTATTATGACTTATTATGATTACTGATTAAATACCTTGCATGCAAAAAGAACTCATAATATCAGTTATGACCTGTAACACCATGCAGTAGGTTTAATCAGTTATTATTGTTGTCATTATTTGTTACCCTGTTGTTTGCTGCTGCCGTAGATGGGAAGATTAAAAAATACAGGGTAACACAATACAAAAGTCTTCATACATAGGAAAAAATAATATAAAAGATCTATACATTGCAGTGAATATTTTAAAAATAAAAGAACATATAACTACAGTTTCTGCTGAACTTGCTGACCGAAAGGTCAGCGGTTCAAATCTGGGGAGTGGGGTGAGCTTCCACTGTTAGCCCCAGCTTCTGCCAACCTAGCAGTTCAAAACATGCAAATGTGAGTAGATCAATAAGTAGCACTCTGGTGGGAAAATAATGGTGCTCCATGCAGTCATGCTGGCCACATGACCTTGGAAGTGTCTACGGACAACACCGGCTGTTCGACTTAGAAATGGAGATGAGCACCAACCCCCAGAGTCTGGCTCAACTAGACTTAACATCAACGGGAAACCTTTGAATTTTACCTATGGTGACTTTTGAGACACCGTATGATGATACATGATGATGATGATGTTGCTCTCAGCAACAGTGATCATGACACTTTATTCTTACAGGCTGAGCATCCCTTATCCAGAGTGACAGATCTCTCATATTGTCTACCTTCGCTACCTGGTGGTTCACAAACTTGATTTTATGCACAAAATTATTACAAATATTGTATATATGATTACTGTTGGGGAATGTGGGTCAGGTGTATGGGGGACATAAAGAACGTTGTGCTTTGATTTTGGCTACCATCTCCAAGATATTTCTGGCCCCTTCCACACAGCTGAATAAAATCCCACATTATCTGCTTTGAACTGGAATATATGGCAGTGTGAACAGAGATGACCCAGTTCAAAGCAGATATTGTGCAATTTTCTGCCTTGATATTCTGAGTTATATGGCTGTGTGGAAGGGCCCTCAGTGTTTATGTGCAGGTATTCCGAAATCCCCGCTCCAGAATTGGAAATAGAGAACCTTTGTGGTCCTGAGCATTTCAGATAAGTAATAGCCAACCATGATGATGATGACAATGATGATTGATTTCCTCATCACTCTGATTTCTATAAATCAGGAGTCTCTCCAGCTGGTTTGCACTCTGTTTTGTGGTCTATCCGTCTTGTCCCCCCATTTGTGATCTGCCTACCTTTCCTCTCTCACTTTCCTTTTCTGTACCACTGATTTCCTAACTACAGGGGTATGGCTTTGGAGGAGGAAATGATGCCTTTCTGTGTTGTCTTTCTCCTCAGCCACTTTTTAGCACCGGACATTGAGATGGGAAAGAGGCTACTGGGCACTTTGGAGATCAGAATGGGGGACAGGTCCCGAGATGGTGCTTGTGTGTGTGTGTGTGTGTGCGTGCCTGTGTGCCTTCCTGTCTTTGTCAAAAGTTGCTAGAGCTGGAAGTGTAACTAGGTAGAAAGCTGGCTTGCAAGTACAGCTGTGTCATTTCCTCTGGCAGATTTGAGAGGCCCCTTGAAAGCGGAGGCAAATCTGGCCTGCATAGTGAAGACATGATGATGGGGACTCACTCAGCCGTCCAAGGGAAAGGTGTCTTGAGTGATAAATAAAATGCCTTCTAGAGCCAGAATATATCCAATATTGCTGCTTTAGTGCCATTGGTGCCTCTTCCCCAGAATCTGGCATTTGCTGGCTCAGACATTTAGCAAGTTTGGTGAGATCGTACAACTTAAAGGTATTCCTTTAAATCCTCCAAATTTCGCCAAAATTATAAACTTTCCTTTGGAAAGGAAATCATTGCAATAATTGTTTACAATATATCTTTGTGCAGATATCCCTTGGTGTATCATAGAACATGCTTGATGTTTAGGTTTTCCTCGCACTGTAAAAAGGTGAAAAGCACACCAGTCTGATAACTGAATGCAGGTGGCTATTCTTTTTCCATGGCCCTTATCAGTAAAAGGAGGTCATGCAACGTGATTAATATATTATGCAAAGTAATTATAGATGAGCTACAGATTTCCAGTGATACAGTTGAATGAGTGTAAATAAATCAGAAACAGATACTCCAATTGCTAGAGATAACTACTTGGGCAACCCAGGGTCAGAGTCGGAAAAAGAAGAAGGTGGTGACAGAGATGGCAACAGGATTTGGCAAGAGATTGCTTTTGAGGAGGAAATGGAGCTTGCCTTTTGCTTTCCCCACTCCTGTCTGAAAGCAAAAAGTATGGCTAACATACTGTGTTATCAAAGGCTTTCATGGTCGGAATCATTGGGTTGCTGTGAGTTTTCTGATCTATATGGTCATGTTCCAGAAGCATTCTCTCCTGACGTTTTGCCCACATCTATGGCAGGCATCCTCAGAGATTGAGGGGTCTGTTGGAAAACTAGGCAAATTAGGTTTATATATCTGTGGTATGGGTTGTTGTAGGTTTTTCGGGCTATATGGCCATGTTTTTGAAGCATTATTTCCTGACGTTTCACCTGCATCTATGGCAAGCATCCTCAGAGGTTCCTCACAAGCATCCTCACAACCTCTGAGGATGCTTGCCATAGATGCAGGCGAAACGTCAGGAGAGAATGCTTCTAGAACATGGCCATATAGCCCAAAAAAACCTACAACATCCTAGTGAGTCGAGCCATGAAAGCCTTTGACAATATCTGTGGTATGTCCAGGGGTGAGAAAGAACTCTTGCCTGGTTGAGT